GAATTGATCCGCACTTTCATGGAGTCCAACGCCAGGGATATCGGCGCCAATGGATCCGTCGGTGACAGTGGTGTCGTCAGTGGCGGCGGACACTCGTCGAGAAGTCCTCTGCAGACAATCGTCTCGTCTTTTAACGTGTAATTCATGTGCAAAACGAGTGGTTATAGTCTTCGAGGTATCAGTGATTGGCTGAAGAGATGAAAGCATTTTGTGTTTTGTTTTGACATTTGTTTTGAAATATTTGTTTTCAAAGCACGTGTCCAGCGCTCAACGCATTGGTTGTCATTGGAAACCGATGTCAACATTAAAGCGATTCAAAAGTTTTGCGTTTGAAGTGAAAAAAAACTTTTTTACTTTTAGTTTATTTTCGTGTAAAATGTGATTACAATTAGTGCTCAAAAGGCAATGAATAGCTCATAACACGAGTAAAATTAAATTGTGCTTGCTGTCAATTTAATTTGTTTTTATTTTTACTTTTTGCTTGGTAATATTCTATTTTGGTAACATAAAATAAGTGCACAATTTAAAAACAATTCGATACAAATTAGCATGCTTAAAAATATTAGACTTTGTATGAGCAATGTACTTAAGTGAGCGCGAGCATAACTAAGCATGCACCCAATATAGCCGTAACGAATGGCACCTGGACACACCCGTTTGCGCTATACACACAGGATTCGTAGTCAGAATAATTATCCTGATCGTGAATACGGTTACGATGACCATGTTTATATTCCTCGAGTAGGCCGTGTCGGTGACAGTGACCCAAACCATAGCGCAATTGATCGCACGATTTCTTATTGCATATACGCATCGATGTGTAACGAATTAATTGGTAATTATGGGTAATATCCAGGTAATGGAATTGACACGAATAATTGCCCATGGTCGTATTGGTGGGGTGAGGTATAGTTACGACCACGTGATCTTGATTTAGGCGTATAGTTGAGTTCATTTGTCGGGCAGAGCTCGTGGATAGACACCCTGTACCTATAAATTGATCATTATTACTAATAATTTATTAGTGTGCTATTGCTTATTTTTGCTATTGTTCGCCCGACTCACCATTGTTGTTTGTCATATCTATCGAGTATAACAAGGTTGTGTTTTTGTACATTTTAATCGAGTATAATGTGGTGTAATTGGTTCGGGGATAAGTGCAATACAGGTCCACTTTTCGGTCATTATTGTACTCATACGTACACTTGTCATTATACAGTAATATGTCCCAGGGTGGCATTATGATAGGACCTATAAGCCATCATAAAACTTTATATAATAATTTGTAACAATAATTTACTAATTAATTAATTAAACTAATTTGTATGTGGAAGTATTATATATACTAATCAAATGGACACCATAGCCAATTAGCTAAAAACTGGCTTGTTGAATCTATGTGCAAATTAAAATGTCATTTACCCTCATCAGTTGAGCATAGTGTGTCACGTGGTAAACGCAATACTTGTATGTAAACAATTAAAGCAATCCAATACATAATCACAAGTTAACTATGATTTAAAGAAATAGGATATAACCTGGCTTAATATTAGTTAATACTAAACTAAACATTATTTTAAAAAGAATTATAATTAGTTAAATAAAATGAACTAAATTGTGAAAACTAGACGGACAGAAACATTTGCAATACTGTATGTACTGCTATGTCGTGACATATGACATACGCGTCATGAAGCCCGCAGACGCGCGTAGAACTCTAGGCGTATTCAACTAAATAATAGACCAAAATAGCCGTACTCTTACACACCGAGTGTGCGTAAACTTGCTTGTGGAGTTTTTAATTGTTTTGAACATTAATTGTATGCCTTTAATGAGTGAGGAATCGAGTTTGAAATGATGTATATTCTGTGCATTCGATGGTTGATCTCCAGAATTCATGCATGGATTCCGAGACATACAGCAAATGTCAGGAATATTTTGAACATAATTTTAATCAAAAGATATGACAATAATATACATTAAGAAAACAAAATACTTTTGATTCAAATGGCAGTAATCAATGTTGAGATTATAATGCAATTAATTGAGACATTATTTAAAATATTTATAATCATATAAAGAATATTCTCTATTAAAGTGATAAATATTAAGAGATATTAAAAAATTGTATTATTTGTCCGCAAAATACGAGAATATATTCTCGATTGAAAAGGTATATTAAATAGAAATCTAAAGAATTGAATTATAATTACAATTAGAAAGACATTTAAGAAAATTCATTACAAATATATTTCGCACATGTTTTGGCACTCAATGTAAACACAATGAATGACAACAAAGTCCTCACATTCCGTACCAATTCTTGTTGTGGCTATCATTTGAGTGGCTATTCATTCAGTTGAAGCACTTTCTTAGTTTAATTTATATAAACATTTATTTTATTTGAATTATAAATTTAAATAAACTTTTGAATAATATTGCAATTATTAAAAAAAATTGCACCCATATATCATTAAATTGAGTGAATATACCGTATTTATAATAAGATTCTGTATGAACCGATTGCAATGAAATTGTTGTTTAGTTTATGATT